GTCTAAACCCTAAGCCAGGTTTCCCAGACCAGAGCACCAGAGCCAGGAAGAAGGGCCCACATAACATATAGCTGTGATAGGAAGTAGGGTTTTGTTGGCTACGGGGACTGAGTACACTAGAGACACAGGCATACTCTTAAAGGGCCAATGTACACAATTTTGTTCCCAGCCACTCACCCTGGGCTCCAGCAGAGGGAGGCGGAGCAGACTTGAGTTGTGTGAGGACAGTCTGGAGTTACTGGCTCTCGGGAGAAAGCTAAAGGGATACCTGCCAGGATCACTGTGCTAAGTCATTCTCTGACACCACAGACACCATCTTCTTTAGGTGGAGCATTGCCCTCTGTGTGGCATCAGCCTGGGGGAATGTAATAGCCCCATCCCTCTGGACTCCCTCTTGCCCCACCCTGTGATTACACCCTGCTGAGGAGTACAGCCAGAGGCTCTTTCAATGACTGAACCTAATAAGCAACTGTCAGGCAGAGGCAGGTGGAGGCAGAACTCATTGGGGTGCCCTGGGAATTTCGTGGGCCTGTCCCTGGGCCAGGTGCTGTAGAAGCTGGCCTTGGTGTGCAGCTTGGCCCTTCTTGCATGTACCCAAGCCCAGCAGAGGCAGCTACAAACTGTGGATCACTTGTAGCTTCAAAAAGGATGTGAAGGGCCAGTCACAGGCAGTGTCTTACATTGGCCCATACCAGAGTCCCTCCTAAGAGGCCCAGAACCAACACATCCAATGTTGGCTTCATATATCAGTGCAGGATCCAATAAGCTTCACAGGCAGCATGTTGAAAAGATCTTGGCAGGCAGCAAACTATGCTGAGGTGAGTCCTGCTTCATGTGGTCAGCATCTGCACAGCAGTTTGTATGCTGTGGCTGGGGCTGAACTTCAGAGTTAGCCAGCCTAAGGGTCTATCCCATGCACAGACAGGCCAATAGCAATCATGACTTAATTATAACAAGAGGACCCACATACCCTACACAAGGGACATTCCTGGAGGACCCAGCTCAGGAGATAAAGGTGACTGCACCAACAGACTCCACAGGACACCTACTGCATATACTACCCAGGGAGACTGGGAGTCATGAGTGATCTATCTAATACCTAGAAAGAAACACAAAGAAGCAGCCAAAATGGGGAGACAAAGAAAAAGGCCCCAAATGAAAGAACAGGGGACATCTCTAGTGAATGAGCTAAATGAATGAAATGGAGGCAAGATAGAGAGTTCAAAGTAATGGTTCTAATGATGTCCAACTGCATGAAAAAGGACAAAGAAACAACAAAAAAGAACCAATCAGAAATGAAGAATACAATATCTGAAATAACACTGGAAGGAATAAACAGTAGGTTAGATTAGGCAGAGGATCAAATCAGCAATTTGGAAGACAAGACAGAAAAAAACACCCAATCAGAGCAAAAATTTTTTTTATTTTAGAAATGAGAATAGTTTAGGGGATCTTGGGGACAAACCTGCATCATAGGGGTAACAGGAGGAGAGAAAGAGCAAGGGATTGAGAACCTATTTGAAGAAATGATGACTGAAAAATTCTCTAACCTTGTGAAGGAAAGAAAAATCCACACAAGTCCAGGAATTGCAAAAAGTCCTAAACAAGATGGACTCAAAGAGGCCTACATGAAGACACATCATAATTATAATGGCAAAGTTTAAAGACAAAAAAAATTCAAAAGAACCTATGCACCCAAATGTTCATGGGGACACATAATAGCCAAGTGTTGGAAGCAACCTAAGTGTCCATCAGTAAATGCATGGATCAAAAAATTATGGTACATTTACACAATGGAATACTATGCAGCAGAAAGAAAGAGCTCCTATCCTTTGCAACAGCATGAATGGATCTGGAGAGCATTATGCTAGGTGAAATAAGCCAGGCAGTGAAAGACAATACCATACGATCTCACCTATAAGTGAAACCTAATCAAGAAAACAAACAGGCAAGCAAAATATAACTAGAGACACTGAAATTAAGGACAATCTGACAATAACCAGAGGGGAGGTGGAGGGAATAATAGATAGGAAAATGGGGAAGGGTTGCCAGGAACATATATAAAGGACCCATGGAGAAAGCCAAAGGGGATTAAAATCAAGGGTGGGAGGTGGAGATGGCTGGGAAGGGGGGGGATGGTCATGGGGGGTGCAGAAATGGAAACAACTGTACATGAACAACAATGAAAAATGTGAAAAATAAAAGAAATTCATAAAGTCACAAGAGAAAGACAGTTACCCACAAGGTAGTTCCCATAAGACTGTCAGCTAATTTCTCAACAGGAACATTTCAGGCCAGAAAGGATTGGCATGAAATAGTGATGAAAAGCAAAGACTTACAACCAAGACTGCTTTACCCAGGAAGCTTACCATTGAAAACTGGAGAAAAAATAAAGAGCTCCCAGCTTTCCAAACAAGAAAAGACTAAAGAAGTTTGTTACTACCAAACCACTATTGTAAGAAATGTTAAAATGGCTGCTTTAAGAAGAAAAAACCCCCCAGAGGAACATAGTTAAAATAATAACATGGCAATAAATATGTACCTATCAATAATCAATTTAATATAAGTGGCTTACATGCTCCAATTAAAAGACAGGGTAACTGAATGGATAAGAAAACATGACCCAGATATATGCTGTCAAGAAGAGACTCAACTCTAAAGAAAAAACCACACAGACTAAGGGTAAAGAGATGCAAAGAGATACTTCATGAAAGCGGAAAGAAGATAACAATTTGGAATAGCAATACTTAGGCAAAAATACACTTTAAAACAAAGAATTCTACATAATAATAAAGAAACAGTTCAACAACATGATATAACCCTTCTGAACGTTCATGCACCCAACATAAGAGCACCTAAATAGCCCTGGCTGGTGTGGCTCAGTGGATTGAGAGTGGGCTGTGAACCAAAGGGTCACCGGTTCAGATCCCAGTCAGGGCACCCGCCTGGGTTGTAGACCAGGTCCCCAGTGGGGGCCATGTGAGAGGCAACCACACATTGATGTTTCTCTCCCTCTCCACCCTAAAACAAACAAACAAACAAACAAACAAACAAAGCACCTAAATATATAAAGCAAATCTTGATGGACATAAATGGAGAGATGAACAGTAATAGTAGGGAATTTTAACACCTCATTAACATCAATGGACAGATCTTCCAAGTAGAAAATTAACAAAGAAATAATGGCCTTAACACACTAGAATAGATAGATAAAGTTGATACCTTCAGGGCATTTCACCCCTAAGCAGCAGAATATACATTCTTTTCAAGTGCACATGGAATATTTTCTAGGACAGACCACGAAACAAGTCTCAGTAAATTTCAGAAGATTGAAATCATATCAAGTATTTTTATTTTCCTGCCCATAATGGTATGAGACCAAAAATCATTCACCAGACAAAACTGAAAAACACACAGACATGGAAGATAAATAACATGTTATTTAAGCAATGAATGGATTAACAATGAGATCAAGAAAGAAACCAAAAGATAACTTGAAACAAATGTAAATAAGAACACAACATCTTAAAATCTATGGAATAGTGAAAGTAGTTGTAAGAGGGAAATTCATAGCATTCCAGGCATATCTCAATAAACTAGAAAAATCTCAAATAAACTATCTAACTTTACAGGAACCTGAAAAGTTAAAGGAACCTGTAAAGGAACAACAAACAAAGCCCAAAGTACGTAGGGTGAGGGAAATAAAAAACAGCTTAGAAACAAAGAAAACAGAGTCTAATAAGATTAAAAACATCAATAAAATCAAGAGCTGTTTCCTTTAAAAGATAAAAAACATTGACATTTAATCAGATTCATGAAAAAAAAAGAGTGGACACAAATAAATAAAATCAGAAGTGAAAAGAAGAGAAATAATCACTCGCAGCAAAGAAATAGCGTAAAAAAATACTAAAAACAATTATATGTCAACAAATTGGACAATCTAGACAGTGGATAAATTCCTAGAAACATACAATTTCCCAAAACTGAATCAGAAGCAATCAGATGATCTGAATAGATAGATTATAACAGGTGAAATTGAAGCAGTAATAAAAAACTTCCAACAAATGAAAGTCCTGGACCAGATGACTTCACAGATGAATTTTACCAAACATTCAAAAAACAACTAATACCGACCTTCTCAAACTTCTAAAAATTCAAGAGAAGGGAAGCCTCCTAAGCTTATTTTATGAGGCCAAGATTATCACAATTCTATAACCAGATAAAGACATTACAAAGGGAAATTACAGGCCACTATCCCTGATGAACATAGATATAAAAATCCTCAACAAAATCTTAGCAAACTGGACCCAGCAACACATTAAAAAGATCACACACCATCATCAAGGGGGGTTTGTTTTGGGGAGGCAAGGTTGGTATAATATCCACAAATCAATAAACATGATACAGATAAAAATCACATGATCATATTAACAGATGCAGAAAAAGCATTTGATAAAATCCAGCACCATTTATGATAAAACCTTTCAGCAAAGTAGGAACAGAGGGAAAATACATTAACATAATAAAGGCCATATATGACAAACCCACATCTAACATTATACTCAAAGGCAAAAACTACAAGCATTTCCTTTATGATTAGAAACAAGACAAAAATTTCCACTTTCACTACTCTTATTCAATATGGTACTGGAAGTCCTAGCCACAGCAATCGGACAAAAGAAGAAATTAAAGGCATCCAAATTAGAAAGGAAAAAATAAACAGCAATTATTTGCAGATGACATGAGACTATATACAGAGAACTCTAAAGATTCTACCAAAATACTACTAACACTGATAAATTTAATGAATTAAGTTATTTTAGTAGAACTTTTGATGTAGACAGAATCCTTTGTCACACCATGGTCCCAAATTTAGATGCAAGAAACAAACAAAAACAAGTGATGTACATGGTGAATGCAACCAAGAAATTGTTCCTGGAAGAGCCTCTCCTTCCTCTACTTAACTCTAGGCAGCCCCATGCCTGAATTTTGTTACTCACCGAACTTTCGGTGGGTCTGAGATGAGGGAAGCAGCTGATGCACCCCCCTGCTGACACCTGTAGGGAAGAGAGTAAACTCTCTGTACCACCACTGGGACTCTAACTCCTGACCATGTGGCAGCTCCTTGGCTTTCTGCAGTATCCAGGAGAGAATCTGTCAGGGGTACTTGAGATGAAAAGTGCTGTTTTGCTTCCTCATGCCTGTGGGTCCAGCCTGTCCTCATGGTGGTAAGACTACTACTCATAACCTGGCCAAGACATGAAAAGGGAGTAAGTTCAGTGTGGCTTATGATGGTACACTACATACGAATAATGATATTCTTAGATAATCCTCTGATGTACATGCACAGCACTAAAATAAAAATAAATATACAACACAAATAGATAAATATAAAAAAACCAAGAAACTCCATGTCTGCCAGGTAACTAGTACTGCCAAGAAGGCCAAGGTGAGCCAGAGTAACATGGAAATGACAGAGTTTTTCTTATCATTGGAAAAAAGACCATACTGGGGCTTTGAAACATGTAGAAAGTCCTGTTATTAAACTATCTCATGGTAATTTAGAAACAATCTAAACAGGACGAGGTAACAATCACAACAGGACAAACTTAAAAACAATATAAAAGAATGACTAGCAATCAGTATTATTAAGTACCTGTTGTATGTGCATTTTCACATAGCATTGTGACAATCATTTATAACAATGTTAAACATCATAATAAGAAAACAACATGTCTAGAGTGATTTCTCTATTTCAGGAACTTTTCTTTATATATTGTCCTTACTTAACAAATATATTTAAATTTACAACAAACCAAAAAGGTAGACTGTATCATTATCACCACTTAATAGATAATAATATTGAGACACAGAGAAATTAAATATCTTGCCCAAGGTCACCTAGAAGAAAGTGGCTGGGGCAGGACTGAACCAGAACACCTGGTTTCAAAGTCCATACTCTTAACCACTATGCTACCCATCATCATAGTGGCTTCATCATCACTGCTGGCGAAAACTTATATCATGAATTTGAAGCAGTAATGTACTTTGAGCCACATTTTAAATCAGGTACAATTAAACTGATTAGAAAGCCCTCCTTTTCACATAATTCCCTCCAGATACTCTTTTGATAATTAAGGGGAGATTCTGCTTGTTTACATATATACAAAACAGGATGAAAATTTGTCTGCTTTCCTATCTTTCTTATGTTCCCTCACGATGACAGTTAGTCTCAGCATTCCATTCAGTGCTGATTCAGGTAACTTGGTGACCTAAGGCAGGTACCCTGTGAGCCACAAACCTTGGAGGGGTCCCAAGAGTGCACTCTGTGCCCATTCCAAGTGAAATTTAGTGGTTCTCTAAGTTCATCTTGGCAGATAATCATGAGTTAGGGCCAATAAAATTCCAAAAATCTGTCTCCAGTTTATAATCTCAAGTTTATGCAGCTTTTTATTCCAAGGAATAGATATTGTAAAAAAGAAAAATGTAATCTTTTTAATAATAAAAAGGGGGCTTAAACAAGATTCTTAGACAATTACAAGAACAGAAAAGTGAACACTCATATATTTTAATGGGTTAGAATAAAGATTAAAAATACATCATTAAAAAGATGAAATACTATAAAAACACCATAATACTGAACTGAACCATAATTTCTTTAGTCATAATAACAAATACTCTTGCCTATATATTTGCTCAATATTTGAAGGAAGATCAAAGGTAAATATCTTCATTTATAACCCTTTCAAATCCAACATTATTACAAAGAATAAAATGTCTAAGCCAATGAAAGTTTACCTGGCTTTCGGGTGAATTATTTGTTAGACAATTAAATCTAAACATCTGGGCCAAAGTGATGTTTCTTCTTGGAAGGGGTGTGTTCCAACCGTGTACTTCATGTGTTGTTCTCGCATCTTCTTTGGCAACAATTTTCTGACAAAAATAAGTACTCAGAATAACAGGGCAACTTCCACTGGGGATAATAAGCTTTTGCCTGGAAGGGGATAAAAAAAATACAACATTTTATTTGCAAAGCTGGATTCCCCTCATGTTCTTGCTAAATCAGGAATACAAAGAGCAATGGCTTGCCTGCTGTGGGCAGGTAAAATCAAGTCAGCCCAGTGAGTGACAGCTGCCCTCACATGCTCAATAGTGACTGCCAGTGGATCCACTTTTACCTTTCCACTGAAACTTCTGTGTCAAGAGAGGGGCTAATAAAAGAAGACCATCTAAGTACCTGGGGTTGAACTCCCTCAGGTCGTCCTACTCTGGTAGATGATGTCTCAGGGTGCCTCAAGGAGAAATGCAGGGCGTGGGCAAAGACCATCAATAGGCTCAAGGAATTACCCATTAAAATAAATGTTATTTACAAGTAAAAATCATCATACATTCTGACAGCTCTAATCTAAGAAATACAGTAAGAAATACAGTAATACAGTAAGAAATACAGCAATAAAAGAAACTCAGTGGATGGGTTCAATAGTAGAATGGAGGGGACAGAGAAAAGAATCAGTAAACTTGAAAGTAAAATAATAGGCATTAGCCAGTATGAACAAAGAAAACACAGACTGAAAAAAACACAAACAGAACCTCAAGATCTGTGGGAAGAAATATAAGTGGAAAATATAGGTAAGTACAATAGGCTTTTCTATTTCTGTTGACTTCAAAAAATTTTTTGGTTTGAAGCAAAACTGTAATACTGATATGTCTAAATGCATTCACAGGAAATATTTAAGACAATGATATTATAAATGAGGACAGTAAAGGGATATAAGATTTCTACACAAACTGGCAAAATGTTGACCTAGTAGACTATGATAGGTTCTACATATAAAATGTAATGCCTAGAGAAACCAATAAAATAGTTATATAAAGAGACACGTACCAAAACATAGGTATGTCAAGATGAAGTTCTAAAAAATGTTCAAGTAAACCACATGAAGCCAGCAAAAAGAAAACAGAAAGAAACACAGAGAAAACAAAAAATAAAAAGGTAGATTTAGTTCTAACATATTAATAATTGCATTAAGTGTAAGTGGTTTAAATAAAGCACTTAAAAAGATTGATTGGCAGAGTGGACTATGAAACAGGATCTATCCAAATGCTATCTACAATAAATTCACTCCAAATATAAAGATATAGGTTAGGATGAGTGATACAGGTAGGATGAAAGTATAGGAAAAATACATCATGTAAACATTTATACAAATACAGTGGAGAAGGGAATACTAATACCAATGAAGCAGGATTCAGAGCAAAGACAATTATCAGGGATAGAGAGGGACATTAACTAATGATGGAAAGGTCAGTCCACCAAGACAACAGAGCAATCTTAAACATACGTCCACCAAAACACAAAGATTCAAAACACATGAAGCAAAATTAATGAAAGTGGAAGGATAAACCAACAAATCCACAATTAAAGTTGAAAACTACAACACCCATCTCTCAATATTTCATAGAACTAGACAGAATATGAGCATATAACATGATTGCTCATGTAGAAAATTATAAGGAATCAACAAAATGCTTAAAACTAATAAATGAGTTCAGCAAGGTCATAACAAAACACAAAAGTCAAATATTTCTATATACTCTCAATGAACATGTGAACACCATAACTAAAAATCCAAATCATTTATAATTGCAAAACCCCCAAAAACCTTTGATATAAATCTAACACAACATGCACATGACTTACATGCCGAAGCTACAAAACACTGATGAAATAAATCAAAGATTTTAACAAATAGAGAGACATACAATATTTATTGATCGAAAGACTCAATGTCATAAAGATGTCAATTCTCCCCAAATGAATACATAAATTTAAAGTAATTCCTATCAAAATCCCAGCAAGATTTTTTGCAGATATGCATAAGCTTATATGAGCCATCAGCAAGATGGCAAAATGGGAGGTCCCTCCTCTCATTCCACCACACCAACAATTGGCAGTCATCCTTAGCCTAACATGCCTTTGTAGGAGCATGGGATTCAGGTAGAAGATTGTAAAACCATGGTGGCCCCCAAGATTGAAAAGGCCATTTTGAGAATGCAGGCACATGCCTGGGTGGCGGATATGCCAACTGTGATACTGGTTGTAGACTTTGAAAGCAGTATCATTCCCATTAAACTGGGCTGCAAGCCCCATTTGACCTTGGTCCTGCCACCAGCACCATCTGCCAGGGGACCTAGTAAGAACCACACCCCCTTGTCACTTAGGAACAGTCCTGGTGACCTCAATTCCAGCTGTAGATCCTAAATCAGTCCATGGCCCAGTTCCAGCCAGGATTACAAACCATATTCTGATAAGTGATAAATATCCAAAATATATAAGGACTACAACTCAAGAGCAAGCCCCCCACCAGATAACCTGATTAAAAAACAGGCAGAGGGTCTGAATAGACATACTTCCAAAAAAGACATACAAATGGCCAACAGGTATATGAAAATGTGCTCCACACCTAATCATCAGGGCAATACAAATCAAAACCACAGTGAGATATTACCTCACAGTTGTTACAAACGCTGTTATCAAAAAGGTAAGAAGTAAATGTTTTTGAGGTGTGAAGAAAAGGGAAGACTTGTATACTTTTGCAAACTGGTGCAATACAGAGCTTCATCAACAAATTTAAAACACAACTACCACAGGATCCAGTAACCCCACTTCTGAGTATATATCCAAAGGAAATAAAATGAGCATCTCAAAGAGATCTGCATTCCCATGTTCACTGCAATATTAATCACAATGGCCAAGAAAAGGAAACAATTTCTGTCTGTTGAGGGATGAATGGATAAAGAAAATAGTACATACACACTCACAAAAAATTATTTAGCCATAAAAAGAATGTAATCATGCTATTTGCCATAGCATGGATATGGAAGAACTTAGAAGATATTATGCTAAGTGAAATAAACCTGACACAGAAAGATAAATACTATCTAATATCACTTATATGTGGAATCTACAAAAGTTGAACTAGAAGCAGAGAGTAGAGCTGTAGTTGTCAGGGGATGTGGGTGAGAAAAATGGGGAGATGTTTGATAAACGGTACAAACTTTCAGTTATTAAGTGAGTAAGTCCTGAAAATCTAATGTACAGCATGGTGACAGTTGTTAATAATACTATATTGTACATTTGGACTTTGCTAAGAGTGTAGATTTTAAGTGTTCTCACCATACACACAAAAAGGTAACTATGTATGGTGAGGCATATATTAAATATATACAACTTTTACTTACTGATTACCCCTTACTACTAAAGCTGGAAAAATGAAATACGTAAATGTAAACTACGAAGCCATAAAACTTCTAGAAAAAAAATAGAAAATCTTCAGTATCAGCACTTAGCAAAGAATACTTAAATGTGAGATTAAAAATTTTACCCATAAAATAAAAAATTGATCAACTGGACATCATTGAAACTAAAAAAGAATGTGCTATGAAAAAGTCCCTGTTAAGAGGATGAAAAGGAAAAATATACAGGGAAAATATTTGCAAACCACATATACAAAAGTGGATTAGGATCTACAATATATTAAAGAACTCTGAAGACTGAAAAAGAAATGAACAATCCAAATTAGAACATGGACAACAGTTATGAACAAGCACTGAAGATACATAAGAATGGCAAATGAGCACATGAAAAGATATTCAGTATCATTAGGCATTAAGAAAATACACATTAAAACCATAATGAGGTGCCTCTACACCACCAAAAGGACTAAAAGAGAATATGGTAACATCTCCAAATACTGGTGAGGATATAGAGAAACCGGATTGTTTACTGGTGAGAAATGCATAGCCACTGTGGAGAAATTTGGCAGTTAAAAAGAAAACACAACTAAACATGTAACTACCATACAACCTACTGCACTCCTGGGCATTTATTTGAGAGATACAAACTTATGCTTATACAAACACCTACATAGGAAAGTTCACAGAAGCTTTATTCATAATACCCCCAAACTAGAAACAACCTAAACATCATCACTGAGTGAACAGCTGAAAAAACTGTTGAATCTATACCATGTAGTCTAGTCAACAATAAAAAAGAAATGAAGTACTGATATACACAACAATGTGGATTAATCTCCAGGGAATCATGCTGAGTGGAAAAAAAACCCAACTATATCTCTAAGGAAATGAAAAACATAGTAGATGCCAGAGTTTAAGAATAGGAGGAAAGAGGGGAAGGGAATGAAGTTAATACACTTATAAAAGTGCAACATGAGTGGTCCTGTGCTGACAGAATTATTTTGCATCTTGACCTTGTCAATGTTAATACCCTGGTTGTGATATTGCACTATAATTTTGTAAGATGTTGAAGTTGACACTGGGGGAAACTGGGTAAAAAGGATATGAATGATCTCCATAGTATTTCTTAGATGGAAAACCATGAGTAGCTCAAAATAAAAAGGTTCATTAAAAATATAAGTTCTGTAATATTTGTTATTCATTCTAAACAAAAAATTCCCGAACATAACCATGGTTGATTTAAGCTTGTAATGGTTCAAAGAATTTCCTTTATTTAAAAAAAAACACCTAATATAGTAACAAGATTATCAATATCTAATTTCTGTCCAAATTATCAGTTCTATCTATGCAAACATAAATTTCAGCTTTATGTAAAACGTGTTACGTAAATTTCCCTGCTCAAATTCCCTGCTCATATATGCACAAATCCTTTTTGTATTTCAGTTGCATTTTTACCTTGCTTGAAATAATAAAGAATAAATACGCTGAAAATGTTGCACATTTTCTTCCATCTTCAATATTAAAATGGCTATACAAAAGTTCAACAATTTTACTAAGCTTTTTAAAAACTCACACTGATATGACAGCTGTCATGATACGTTCTAACGAAACTGTTTCGAATGAAGTTAAAGACAACTGAGCACTACTAGAGCCATCCTACAGAAAAAAACAAATGAACCTTTTTGGCCAACCCAGTATGTTCTAGGCTCAACTTACCTCTCTAACATGTACACCACA